GCCTTTTTAATTTTGTGAAAGCAAAAAGTGGAAACCTAATAAACACATTTATATGTTAAAAAAAATATGGGAGGACAATGTGTTTTTATAGGATTCAAAGCATTGATCACCAAGACACACCAATATATATCACTACCAACCCTTCTTTACAAATCTTTCACAATCACATCGTGAAAATCTGCAAACTGTCTTCAAGATTCTGAAAGGACTGAATGTATATAGCAGATGGTACGTGGGCTTTGGAATGCAACAGACCTGTGCTGAAATTCCAATTCCATCACGGAATGTTCTCAAGAAAAGTTATCTTTATACCTCGTTTTCCTCAATTATAAAATAGGTTTGGTAATACCTCCCTCCTGGATTTATGAATAATAAATGAGATAATTTCTGGGTTGTTGCCCAGATCACAGTAAGAGGCTTTGGGGTCAACATAAACATTGCCAATTTTCTTTTAATATCACCTTTTCATCTGTGTAAAGCCAAACTCAAAGGAAGAATTATCACCTGGTGATCTAGGGCATTACTAGAGCAATGTTTTCATCAGGGGAGCAATGTTTTCAAATGAAGCAAAGAGGTGTATGTGCGTGCGCGCACGTGTGTGTGTGTGTGTGTGTGTGTGTGTGAGGAAGATCACTTTCCATGGGCCATCAATAGCCGAGACTTGAACCACCCTTTATCCTCCCTACAACTAGTATTTATGCAGTAAAAGCTATGCTTTGGCATGGGTGGGAGAGACATAAGGGAAGTGGTGGAACCAGGAGGAACGCTATCTGCAATGATTTAAGCAGGAGACTCGAGTCTGGTAGGGATGGAACTAGAGAAGAGAGGACAGACTGGAGAGTTCTTCTGTCTCTTTGGGAGACAGAATCATTGTGTCTTGGTAAATATTTGGATGTTAAGTGTCTGTCTCAGTGTCAATTGCCTCAAGACAGACACTGAGCCACCTTTGATGCCCAGCACATTTGGAGCTGGGGTGAAGCCCTTTACGGGTGAACTCCAGAGGAGATCTGAGTGGGAAGACACTGACTTCCTTTGTGGATGTCTTGACCTAGTTGCCTGAGGACTTCTGGGTGGCAGTGTCCACCAGGCACACATATACAAATCTGAATTTGTATACATTTGGGATTCAAGAGATGGCAAAGGCAGATAATGAGATGGCTAGTACAGGGGATGAGCCTTGCATGGGCAGAGTAAACAGCCACCAAATAGCTTTCTTACCCAGAGAGGATTCTACAAAAACATTCCTGAGAACAAAGGGTAGGATCCTGGTCTCAGGAGTCTTAAGGGCCATTTAATCTACACTTCATTTTGCAGATGAAGAAAATAGGTGCTGTGTCGCAGAGGCCTTCTCCAGGGTCCCACAGCCAGCGCTATCAGGACCAGTAGCAGGTCTCCTGGGCACCCCCTTATCCACACTGGGTGTCTCCTCTGTTCCTCCTTCCCACTCTCTCTCCCCTTGGTGAGGATGGGCCAGGATGAGGAAGGCTAGAGGAATGGCCAAATGAGAAAGGAAGAACGGGGGCAGCAGAGGTGACAGGGCGAGGAGGAGAGAGGAAGGCTGACCAGGCCCATGCAGAGGGCTCTCACACACTAGAGAGCAGGAGGAGCTGATAAGTCCTGCACAGAAACCCCCACCTCCTGCTCAGCCACTCTCACAATGGCCAAGGGCAGCACGTCGTTCTCAGTAAGAGTTCAGGCCTGTGCTCCTCAAACTCATTTTGCTAGCATTCCCCAACACGTTTACTATTAGTTTACAAGAGATCAAAATACCAAAGGTACATACCAGATTTGTATATGTAGGAGTAAATATAATCCTTTTAATCAGATGAATGGGTTTTAAGAAAACTGGCTCATGTAACCCAGAATGAAGCAGGATTCAGCATCCATATTACTCCTGTTTTTCATTTTCAGAGTTGAAAATGTTGAGAAACTTTGTTCGGATAAGGAAGCTGGTAAGACTAAAGGGAGTTTTCTTATAGTTATATCACTTAATACTTGAACTTCTAAGATACAGGTTAAAAGCATTTTTGTCATTGGAAATTATTTTGTATGGTCTGTTAACTGACAACTTGATTAGGCTGTTCTCCAAGGTCCCTGAAGGCAAAGAATTGGAAACCACTACATTTGCAAAAGGATTTTTATACTCAGTCTTTTTCTTTTTGAGACAGAGTTACCCTGGATAGAGTGATGTGGCATCATCATAGCTCACCACAACCTCAAACTCTTGGACTCAAGCAATTTTCCTACCTCAGCCTCCTGGGAAGCTGGAACTACAGGCACCTGCCATGACACCCAGCTAGTTTCTTCTATTTTTCATAAAGATGGGTTTTGCTCTTGCTCAAGCTGATCTTAAACTCCCAGAGTGCTAGGATTAGAGGTGTGACCTGTCTCACCTGATGCTTACCTAGTCGTTTACTTGCTCAATACCTAGACAAATATTTCAAAAATTGTCCTTTTGTCTGGCATCCTCAAAGCTTTTTACAGGCTAGGGCAACACACCATGGTGAGGTCAGGACAGGTGGAAGAGTTGGCCTTTCTTTTGTAAAGAGAGAAGAGTGAGTGTGGAAAAAGGAGATAGGAAAAGAGGCCTCCACCCTCTACCCTAGGCCTCCATCCAGGCAGCTAAATTCTGGTAAAGAGTAATACAGAAGTCAAAGATCTAGAAACTGAGTCCCTTAAAACTATTGTTATTTGTATAACCCCTGGAAAATTCTCCAAAATTTGTACCTCTGAGGCAGGGCAGGAACTAGTGGCAAGTGAGCTACTTACTTGAGGTATGAAATTTAAGGGAATGCCAAAAAAACTTAGAAGCCAGATAAATAATACTTGAATGACATTTTTGTGTTGTTTTTATTTGTTTGTTTTGGAGACAGTCTCAAGCTGTCACCCTGGGTATAGTGCCATGGCGTCATAGCTACAGCAACCTCAAACTCTTGCCTCAGTTTTTCTATTTTTAGTAGAGACAAGGTCTCGCTTTTGCTCAGCAATCCACCTGCCTCGGCCTCCCAGACTACTAGGATTATAGGCATGAGCCACCTTGCCCAGCCTGAATAAAATTTTTGAAAAAAATAAAAATTAATGCTCTCAAATCCATGTGAATGAAATGTCAAAATTTAAAGTAAAGATAAGATAAGAGGACATGCATATCCAGTTTGAAGTGCACAGGTCTCAACATCCCAAATTTAAGAGCATTGGCAACGCTCGAAGATGGGTGACGATTCTCTTGCCCATACTGCCACCTGCTGCTGGAAGTGAGCAATGCTGGCTGCCCGCCCAAGGTGCATTATAGCGAGTGCCTCTCCACCAGAATCTACACTCACACATAAAGACACCCATGCACTTGTGGGCAGTCACCCACTTCAGGAGTTTCAGAAAACTCACCTCTATCCAGATAGAAAGCTAAGAGATTGGGAAAGGGGGTGTAAAAAGAGTCCAAGACTCAGAGTTATAAGACACAGATTTGATTGAGTCTTAGGTTTGCCTCTCACTAGCAAGACCATCCTGAACATACTGCATCACCCTATGAGTCTCAGTTTCTGCACTTCTACCAATGGATCTCATCACCTCCTCCTGAATGGCTGAATTTCACGAGATTCTTTCTGTGAAAATGATGAACAGACTGCCTGGCACAAACTATGTACACAGTTCACTACAAGCTACTCACCCCATCCCCATGATAAAATCAAACTAACATCAATTTATTACTGAAAGCAAGATACACTAAAAGACAATCAGAGAGAAAAGATGCTTTAGAAACCCAGACAGGGGAGCAATAGCGGTGGCCAGTGGATAAGGAAGACTTTCCCTAGGGCATGTATCTAAAGCTGAGCTTACCATGGTTGGATGGGCCAGCTCATGCCAGGAGCCAGCCAATAGCCTGTGGGGATCACTGGGCCACATCCTGATGTGTTATTTCAGGATGAAACATGCATAGCAGTGATGATGGAAAGGCTAAGGCCTTTGGAATCAGCCCTGGGGCAAATTCTGGCTTTGCTACTTACTAGCTTTGTGATGAGTGGAAGTCACTGAACTTCCCTGAGCTTCAACTTCCTTGTCTGTAAAATAGCAATAAGAGAACATCTTGTCCTGGGTAGATAAGGTTAAATAACACGACGTATTTAAAACTCCTGCAATGTGGTGGTCTCGGTTAAGTGGCAGGCGTTATTGCTAGCATGCAGTTATATGGTCAGGCCCCTGACTAGCTTCTGTAAAGTGAGGGAGGGAAAGGGACACACCAGGCAGGAGTGTTGGTGACTGTCATATTTGACTCACGGGCCAACTCCCAGGATGTGTTGAGGCAGAAGGGGAATGCAAATCTCCCCTGTGGGCAGACTCTGCTCCTCACTCTGCCCAGCCCACAGCAGGCCTCGGCGTGTCGGTGCACACAAAAACGACAGGAGGGGTAAGCCACGGGGCCCCTGCTCTCCCTGGAATTAGAGGGGCGTGGCAATGCTGGATTCCAACGGGTAGAAGAGGATTCTGCAAAAATAAGCTTGGAAATTTGAATAAGGGCTGTAAGTTAGGTAACAATTTCATGTCGGTGTTAATTTCCTGACGTTGATAACTGTGTTGTCCTTATGCTTATGTAAGAAAAGATCCTTATTTTCAGGAAATACACCCTAACGTATTTAGGATTAAAGTGAGATCATGTCTGCGATTTACTGTCAAAAAGTAATAAAAAGATCAAGCAAATATGGGGACATGTTAATACTGGGAGATCATAAATTCTTGCAACTTTTCTGTAAATCTGAAATTATGTGAAAATAAAGTTATAAAAAGAGAAAAGAAGGCAGCAGGCCAGAGTTCTCCGCTCCCGGATTCCTTCGCTCCTCCCTCTCCATCGCGCTTCTCTCTTCCCCGTCCTCCCGTGGAGAACCCGCCCGTGGTGCCCCGCGTGTGCCCAGCTCGCCTCCCTCCGCTCGGTGCGGCTTCCTGGCCGGGCAGCAGGAATCGCCCCCCGCCCGCCCGCCCGCGGACCCAGCACGGACTGCGGACTGCGGCGCCAAGCTGCACCAACTTTATTTGCAAAAGAAGGCTCCAAGCGCACGCAGGGGCTGCGGCTGCAAGATCGCCCCGCCCCGGCGCTACACGATCCCGAACTGGCAGATGTAGGGCAGCTGGTCGCGGCAGCGCTTGTCAAACCACTTGCCGTTGGCCGCGCCGCCCAGCACCGCGCAGTTCTCGGCCTTGCCGCCGTCCGGCTGCGCGGTGATCTCCGTCTCCCAGTTCTTGTAGGCGATGCGGCCGCCGGTCATGTCCACCCACACGCCCTCGGTCGCCATGTCGTTGAGGCCCAGCCAGATCTCGGCCTCGCCGCCCACGCTCTGGCGGAGGTACTCGTACAAGGCGTCGTTCTCCGAGCCAGTCTGCGGGGTGCTCAGGGTGCCCCCGCGCGAGATGCAGTCCTCGCTGGCCTCGTGGAAGGTCTTCGCCTGGGGGAAGGCTAGGAAGCACTTCATGTGCACCTTGGTGCCCTTCAGGCAGACTAGGAAAGGGGAGAAAGGGCTGTCACTGAAGGTCCCAGGGTCCTGCCCAAGAACAAGTGCGGGGGCAGGCCCACGTCCTCCATCCCATACCGTCCCAACTAGCCTATTGGTCCCCAACAGCCCCTGTATCCAGGCAAGAAGGAGGGTCTTGACCTTGCCTCCTCCCCACCGTTTTTTTCCTGAGACATTGTCTCATTCATTCCCCAGGCTAGAGTGCCAGGGTGTCAGCCTAGCTCACAGCAACCTCAAACCCCTGGACTCAAGCAATCCTCCTGGCTCAGCCTCCCAAGTAGCTGGAACTACAGGCGCCTGCCACAATGCCTGGCTAATTTTTCTATTTTTCATAGACATGGGGTCTCACTCTTGCTCAGGCTGGTCTTGAACTCCTGAGATCAAGTGATCCTCCTGCCCTGGCCTCCCAGAGTGCTAGGATTGCAGCCATGAGGCACCACTCCCAGTCCTTGCCTCCCCTTTAAGGATCCTGCTATGGTGGACACTGCCAGGACACTGCAGGTCCAGGTCCTCACTCAAGAGCTCTTGG